TGACATAATTATATAACTTATATATATAATGTAAGTATAAAGTATAAGTATGAAATATATTTATTTAGGAACTTTTCATTTATGCTCTTAAATCATATTTACTGATAATTTATTTTACTTTTACTTTCCTTGTTCTTGTATCATGCTGTTCTGGCATCATATAAAGATAATCAAATAAAACTCTGAAAATATAAAATCAAAACAGCAATATTAAGTAATTTTAGGTCAGTGTCAAAATAAATGGAAGTAAATGCTGAACCACAGTAATATGTAAAAGTGAAAGGTTGTCAAGGGCAAAGGATGACCTTTAGTCAAGTATGCATGTTAAAATATTAAAAGTAAGCGTTAACGAATAGAAATAGAAAATGTTGCTCTTGAACCAGTAGCAGTGGAAAAGGGGGAACACAGAAACTCAACCAGTTTTGTCTTAAATCTTGGGTCTAATCCTGTTGCGGACCGTTGTGCCGATTTTCGTACACGATATCTGCATTGAGGTCGGGTCCTCGGAAGAGTTTAAGTTGGCTGGTGCCTGGAACAGGGCGTGGGAGGGCATGGGGATACCACAAGCTCTGTGTTAATTTCTCCTTTTGTGGGTTCTCACACTTGACAAAGAGACTAACTTCAAAGCCCAACTGTGTGTGAGTTACAGACTTGGGATCCTGATTTCTGAAGGGAATCTGTTATTTATATCCCAACCAGAAGCCCAAGCTAAAATAGACAGACTCCCTTGTTTTCCCCAGGGCAAGTGGGTAGATTATTATTATTATTTTCTGGTCTATTCTTTTACTGATATGGAGATCTTCAAGACTCCTGGTTTAATGATTGGATCTCAGTTCTAACTCACTGCCTCAGTCAAGACCACAGGCTCATCTTTTCCCAATAATATTTAATGTCCTTTTCCCATAATCTGACAATCTGCTTGCAGGGCAGCCTATCACCTTGGTTTGCATCCCTTTGAGTTCAGCAGAGCATCTAGAAGACATGTTTTTCTTGGGCATGTCTTTGTATTTTTAGTGAATTTTCCCATTTCTTCCTCTTAGGACCAACTCAAAATTCACTCTCTTTGGAAATTTGACAAGTATGGTGTTGCCCACTTTATGTCAGCCTGTTACAAGAGGTTGTAAAAAAATTCAAAAGGTTTTCACTTATTTATAATTTATTTCCCATAGTTTCTTTTTAGCTATGTGTACAGGGTGGGGCAAACATTGGTTTGCAGTTGTCCACATGGAAAAAGACCTACAGATTATGATCATTACAACAGCTTTAACCGTGTTTTGCCTGCTCACAACTGTAAACCTACTTTTGCCTCACCCTGTCTATCCTATTAAATATATTGTTACTTTATAAGAAGTAACATCTTATGTACTTTTTTTCAGATAAACTTAAAAATCTGGTAGTTGCATGTTCTTCAGCTAGTTTAAGGATTCTAGCTTTAAAACATTTTTCATTTGAGTCAGCATTGTTTTGTGGCCTATTTTCTAGGTCTAGTGGCAAATGATCCCATTTTTTGAATTGTTTCTAATTTGAGGCCGTAAAAAGTGTGGGGATTATATTTCTTGTTAATAGAGCATTAATGGCATTTAATCCTGTACTATCTCTTTTCTAATTATTTTCAGGGGAGGAAATGGGTCAAAGGTTTGATTGTTTTACATTTAAGAGCTAGAATCAAAGAAGCCTTAGAGGCGACTCAGACCTTACTTTACAGATGAGAAAATCCGCACTCAGAGCGTCTAGGAGACCGGCTGAACACATTAGCTGGTGAGCACTGGATCGGGAAGAAGTCCTCAGCCACCCATTGTTTGCTTTAACAGAAGTGGGAGACCGAGATGGTTTGATTTATGTCTTATTACTGGTCCTTTATCCAGCATAGATTAAAATCTCTCCTTTAGAATGGCAGTAGAGTACATATTTACATTCTTATCGAAGTACTTACTAAGTCACATAGTTTTAATTACTCGTCTGAGAGCTGTGCCAAGTGTTCTCTTTTCCCCTCTGCTAATGAATATGTAATTGTCTCTCAGGAGATTAAAAAACGCACTGGCCGGGCTGTGAGTGGCTCCACAGCAGGCACTCAGGTGTGTCCTGTTGGCACCCCTTGGAGGCCTGGTGTAGTGCAATGGCATGCCCATACCTGGCATTCCATAAATGTTTGTGAACGTGCGAATGAATAAATGAAGTGCGCAGTGAAGATGAATACCACATGTGCCTCTTCGAGTTTGGGCTTGGCAGATGTGTTTTGACTTCTTTTGAGATCACATGATAGAGTGAGGCACATTCTGAGATTTGGAACAGCTGTTCAGCACAGCAGCCAACGACCCATGATCCTGAGATGTAATCGGTGGATGTGAAAAGGGCATGAATGTCCTCTTTTTAGCTTTGAGGACAATTTAATGTGGGGTTAATCCCATTTTATTTACATCTTTTTGCTTGTGCAGGGCACATTTCTGTAACTTATTACAGAGAAATGTCTAATTATAGTGATTTGGATATTGGAATAATAAAGTTAAAAAAAGTATTTATTGAGAGTTTTGTCTATGTGTTTTTCCCTAAATTTCTTGCAATAAATATTAGTTATTTTTCTAAAGAAGAAAATAAAATAATTTATAGTCTGATCTATATACATTTTACAAAATTACCATTCTATGCATTACCTTTTCCCCTATTTTCACTCTTTTTATCTTCTGTAATATGAAAAGTAGTCGTCCTACTTTAGTATATTAATTACTCATTTGGTGGTTTTTGAATCATCATATTTAAACTTTTTTTGAAAATTGTTGTTATAATTTAAATAGTATGTGTTGAATCTTACCTGATTAATAAGAATATTAACAGTTACTTGCATACTTCTGAGTTCCTTATTTTCAAGTTCTTATTGATATAGTAATTTATTATTAAATTATTATTTTTTATAATTATACCTTTAAAAATTATTTTTGGTGTTTGCTTTGGTTAATAACCACATGAAGAGCAATTACTTAGATTCATGTTTGGTGGGTTTTCGGTGCACATTTGATGTATAAATTAATTATTTCGAAAGGGAGTTCTGAGTGGTTGCGAAGTCCAGGGTGTGGCCACGGGAGTGGGCAGCTATGTTGTAATGAAATAGAAGGTCATCAGAGATGAGGTCAGAAACTGAAAGGCAAAAAAATGAGATGAGTTACCCAGAGTAATGGCAAGACTTGGGTGGAATGGAACACTATAAGCCAAATGCCCAGATCTCAAGGGAATGAGATTCTATGGAAGGTACGTAAGACACCAATATGTACAGGACAGGATCTTCACTACTCCCCTGGACTATGATCTCCAAGAAACAGACAAGTTAACACATTGCGGACCAGTAGTTTTATTGCTAGCTTTACCCAGTGGCCAGATAAGTTTGTATTGAACGAGTACAAAAAACATTTTACATAAATGTTAAAGGCACGCTTTAAAATTAATGTAAATACCCATTGCATTTTGAAGTTATTTATTACATGTTCTTACAAAGCTAATATCTTTTTAAAGTATGATACTTTGTAAAACACTGTGTAATATAAAGTGAGAATTCTCATGATCCATCTGTAATGTGTTAAGCTATAAATAATTATAGAACATGGTATGTGTAATGGTAGAAGCATGATCTAAAAGCTTTTCAAGTCTAGATGAGGAAAGAGACTCTTGATGTATGGATGAATTAAAAGACTAACTATTTAATAAACGTTTATACTGTTTGGGAACTTTCAGGGTTTGTAAACATTTATGCACAGACTGTGGATATTGAGTAGAATATTTGGTCTAAAATAAGTCTGCACACCTGAAACTCAGTATTAGAATGTCAACTACACCCAAAAGTAAAAAAAAAAAAAAAAATTTAAAAAATAGAGGTTAAAAAATAGAGATGACATTTGCTAAGTAATTAATTAAGTGCAATACCAAAGAAAAGGAAAAAGGTAGATGTGAACTGTCTTCAAGAAATATTTTCACCCTGCTGGTATGGCTCAGTTGGTTGAGTGTCATCCAATGCACTGAAAGGTCCCTGAGGCCTAGGGACCCTACCCGTGCATGAATTTCATGCACTGGGCCTCTAGTTCTATTATAAAGTTCCTCAGTCCTTCTTGGATTCAAGTAAGGCATAAATAATAAGCAAATATATTCTAGTTGATGATGTTAAAAAATAAGAAAACACATTATACATTATTTACCGCTCCACATTTTAGAAGACATTCTTTATCCAATCTAAGTATACGTTGCTGTTTGTAAAGCAGCATCAAAAGGTCAGCTGCTCTTTAGATGTTGCGTTAGGTGACATATTTCTTATGTCTTCCAAAAAGAAAAAGGTCTTCAAACATCATAGATTGGTTAACGATTGCTATTCTAGGGACAAGGAGTCGTGGGGGTAGACAGTGCTGCCCACAGGAATGTTGAACAGCAAATGCTGGCTTTGGGCAAAGAAGCTTTGATCCATAGTGACCTCTTTGAAATGTTAGGACTGCTGGTCCTTGTGGGGACTTGTATTAAAAATGTCTGTCACAGACAGGACATTCTATGTGAGAACAGAAATGCTGAATAATAGGGCAATGATACCCTATCTATAAACCAACTATGTTTACAGATGCCCTAAATAACAGGCCCAAGTCGATTTTACTATGATAAATATTCCAGTTGTAATGCTCTGCAGAATTCTCATCTTTCTCATGTATTTTAAGTAAGATTTCTGGGCCGTGTGGCTTTTCTAGTAAACATCAATGATGTGCAACCACTGAGCACAGACCTTGTCATTTATTTAACTCCAACTGTCTTTAATCTTGAAACTCTTGAGGACAGTAATACAGTGAGAAACCTTGAGGTTTCAACATAATCATAGAACATTTTGCAGAAGGAGATTTTCAAATTCTTTGCTTTTTTTTTTTTTTTTTGGTGACATTTACCATCAAAATCTTGTGTTATCTATATGTCTTTTTATTTGGACCCCGTGGTTTCTTTTTTTCTTTGGTTTTCATCTTTCTCCCTCTCTCTCTCAGTTCACAGCCATGAATGAACCACAGTGCTTCTACAACGAGTCCATCGCCTTCTTCTATAACAGGAGTGGGAAGTATCTTGCCACAGAATGGAACACAGTCAGCAAGCTGGTGATGGGACTTGGGATCACCGTCTGTATCTTCATCATGTTGGCCAACCTCCTGGTCATGGTGGCCATCTACGTCAACCGCCGCTTCCATTTCCCTATTTATTACTTAATGGCTAATCTGGCCGCTGCAGACTTCTTTGCTGGGTTGGCCTACTTCTACCTAATGTTCAACACGGGACCTAATACCCGGAGACTGACTGTCAGCACGTGGCTCCTCCGTCAGGGCCTCATTGACACCAGCCTGACGGCCTCGGTGGCCAATCTGCTGGCCATTGCGATCGAGAGGCACATTACCGTTTTCCGCATGCAGCTCCACACGCGGATGAGCAACCGGAGGGTGGTGGTGGTGATTGTGGTCATCTGGACCATGGCCATTGTGATGGGCGCTATTCCCAGTGTGGGCTGGAATTGCATCTGTGATATTGAACATTGTTCCAACATGGCACCCCTCTACAGTGACTCCTACTTAGTCTTCTGGGCCATTTTCAACTTGGTGACCTTTGTCGTCATGGTGGTCCTCTACGCTCATATTTTTGGCTACGTTCGCCAGAGGACTATGAGAATGTCTCGCCACAGTTCTGGACCCCGGCGGAATCGCGATACCATGATGAGTCTTCTGAAGACTGTGGTCATTGTGCTCGGTAAGTGTTGTCTTGACTGTCACTCCACGGATTCTCGATGTCTTGCTATAAATTACGTTAGTTTGGGATAGTGGTAAACGATGTTATGAATATTCACCAGTAGGTCTGTAGGACTTATATGGGGATGAAGTACTTTTTATCAAATCTCTGTGGTGAAGTCAGCATCCCAGTCTTTCTACAATGACAGAATTAGCTTTGGGAAATGCACATCTCAGTGGCTTAGTGTAAATGATGATGTGAACGATGTTATTGATGAGTTTGGCTATCAAGTGTTGAAAATTCTAGCTTTGCAGATTTTCCTGTAGCCCAGTTGTGGGATTTTTGCCTTGTGGTCTCTATGAAAGTGTTTTCGGATAGAAAGTGTTTATTATGTAATATGAATATGCTTTCATAGATAGCTGTGTTTATGGATCTATTTTTAAATAAGTTATCTTTCACATTCTGTAATTGTCACTACACACATGTTAGGTAGCATATCAAGGTTTTGTATAGATTTACTGCAAAAATGGATTTGAATCAATAGCATTCTTCATCTCTATGAAAACTTAGTGTTTTCCCCATTAATTTTCTATTTGTAGTAGTAGAAGTTATTTTTATTTTAAGGTGAGGAGCAAGTTTTTATTCTTCTACGTATACGCAAATAACTTTTGCCTTTAAATAGCTATTGTTTTTCCTGGGTGAAGAATTCATGGTAATGACCAGGAGGAATATTTTTATTTCTTCATTTAAGTACTCAGGGAATTAAAGAACATCTAAGCTCCAGGTCCTCTTCTGACCCCTGGAGATTTACCCACAAAAAGGATACACACAGAACATTTCTCTTGGAGCTCAGAGTGCGTCATTTAAAAGTTCACCCAGTGAGAATTCATTTAACTAATTACCCTATTGGATCACATTTTCTCCATAGACTATATTCAGAATAGTGTTTGATCACGTTTTTAAAAATATCTTTTAGCATTTCAGTTTTCCCCATGGAAATTCAGTGGAAAGTTCCTCTAATGCTCTTTGGGCCAATTTCTAAAGCCGTGTTGAATGAATGTGACCTGGGATTGCAGGGCTCCTCTGAAACTCCAGGACTTACATTCATTTAGTCCCTGGGAAGAGCGAGAGTCCTCATCATCACGGAGTAAACTAGCATTCTGGTTGAGGCATTGGTCCCATTTATTTTGATTAGGGCAAATGCATCGTGGAGGTCTTAGCTGAGTTTGCTGATTGAGACCCTCATGTGGATCTTAAGGATAAGGATGAGACCTGGGAGTTGCTGACACACTAAAGTCCTATCTGTAACTAACTGGACACAGATAATATTCCCACTGGGGACTCCAGCCCCTCAGATATGAGATTATCTTATTCCTTTCAACAAAGCTTAGTAGAAGTATAAAAATGGTTTCCCTATATGTTAATTGTCACCAAAAACCTTAAGAACTTGAGCATACCTGTGCCACGAGGGCATATTTTCCATGATAGATGAGACACATCTTAGGAGGGCCGCTTTTCCTCAAGTGCTGCTGCTCACAGTTCATAGAGCCGCTAGCAGAAAAGGACTATTGAACTTGGAGTATGAACCTGCCAAGTTCTTGTTTTGACTTTGACCTTTGTATAATGCCTAACAAACTCAGGTATGCAGTATGCTTCAAGACTCATGTACATTAACTTTTGTGTCTCACTGGGTTGCTTTGTAGGTTAAATGAGAATGATTGGGAGGGTTTCTGAGGCAATAGTTTCAGTGTATATCTGCCCTACATGCCCCTTCCACCCCGGCACACCAACCCCAAACTTAAACATAACAAAAGTAATGTTGCCCTCTGATCTTTAAGCTTGTAGACTCTACAGATATCAAATGCAGATGACAACCTCTGGGGAAATAGCATTATTTCAGTAGGTATGTAATAGAAGAAGTTTTATGTGTATGTGACTGTAACATAGGAAAGAGAAATTAAATAAATGGACTGTAGCCTTTTGAGAAAAGCAGTAAGAATGGGAGAATGAGTCGGGCGGGTGGTTAGCAAGCTTAGGATAGGGAATTCACATCCTATGCAGATACTTGTCAAGGTGACATCTGAAACCATTCACACAATGTACTCTGCTGCCTGAATTCTGCGTAGTCACGCCTGCATGGAAGAGAAGGGCTGGTCTTGTAGGAACAAGAATTCTAGTCTACTTGAAGCTCTTTTTATTGTAAATTAGTTTATTGACAATGGGGTTTTTGGTGCACATTTTATTTTTAATATCCATCTCCCCTGCCAGTTTGTCAGCTTTGTGATGATAGGCAGGGATTGCAAAGATGTGCCCATTTTCTCCACATTATCTTCCAATCAAAATACAACAGCTTGCAAAGCGACTGGCCACGTGGATGCTCAGCAAATAATATGTTTATCTTACTTTCATTTATTTGGGGGATGATTATAGTTGGATTAATTGTGTAGAGAACATTCAGTTTCTGATTCACTATGTTAAAGTGACCTCTGGGTTGTTCAGTCCTCATGATCAGGAAGAGGATTTGTTGGTCAACAAGTCAAATTCCTGGGAGTCAGCATAAAATATAGGCGCCTTTGAGATTTATGGTGGCAATACCTGTATCAGTTTCTAAGCATAAGGTTGTATGTAAGCAACTTTTGAGTGAGCACTGGATCTTAATACTTGTATGTGTCAAACTCTTTTTTATTTATTTATTTATTTATTTATTTATTTATTTATTTATTTATTTATAACCTCATTTCAGAGAGGAAGGGAGAGGGAGAGAGAGATAGAAACATCAATGATGAGAGAGAATCATTGATGGGCTGCCTCCTGCACCCCCCACACATGTGCCCTGACCAGGAATCAAACCGTGACCTCCAGGTTCAGAAATCGACGCTCAACCACTGAGGCACGCCGGCTGGGCCGTCAAACTCTTATGTAGCATTAATCCTTTGCCCAGTGCTGGTCTACCATAGAAATTAGGGTTTGTAATAGCAGCCCTGTGGCGTGTAGGTACCATTATGTACTTGTTATCTTCTTCTTTGAGAGGTGAAACCTTAGGGACACAGACATTAGGTAACTTGCACAAGGTCACACCGCTAGGTAAGTGCAGGAGCTGGAGTTCCCGTCAGGCCCTCTCTGTTCCAGAGCCCATGCTAGCCTGTATCTCCACAATAAGAACAACCATCCGCACCGTGCCGTGTTCTGTTATGAAGTTTGAACAGCGCCGTGCTATTAAATGGAAACATTGTGGTCCCGTTTGTTTCTGTTGATACTGCCTAGCTGCCTGGGCTTTGTTGCCTGGGTGGAAGAAAGCTTGAAGGAGCGTTCCTTTCCTCCTTTTGTTTCCAAAGATGACGCTCAGGACTGGCGTTTTTTATCAGCCCTTCCCCGCTGTTTGCAGTCGCGGCACCATCACCGACGGCTGATGATTGAGTGAGTGTTTTGTTACAGGTATAGTTCACTCGAGGGTTTATTATCCCAGCATGAGGTCATGTAATCCTTCCCCAGGCTCGAAGTCTCCCTGCTTGACATTTTACCAAGAATTCCTTCTGGGTTTGTTACCGAGTTGAATCAGATGAAGTGGCAGGCAAGTTCTTCCTTATTTGACCACAGTCTGTCTTGATTTGTAAGTCCCAGCCTCTCCTGCTCTATTCCTTGTGACGACACTTCTATTGGGGGTAATTAGACGAGGAAACCCAGGGTTTAGAGAGAGACAGTCACGGTGACAGTGTGCAGGGTTTTGCCTCTGAGCCCTGGGACAGAGGGAGGGACATAAAGCAACATAAATCCAGGTGGGGCTTATGATTCTGTGGGGCTCATTACACTCTTTTTCTAGTTTGATCTGTTCTGGCTGGAAATGATCATCACTGGAGCTAAATTACTCCTATTACCTACACTAGGGGCCCGGTGCACGAAATTCGTGCACTGGGTGTGTGTGGGGGGGTGTCCCTCAGCCCAGCCTGCCCCCTCACACACTGGGGGACCCCTCAGGCGTTGACCCCC